CAAAAAAACAAATAACCCTATTAAAAAATGGGTGGAGGACCTGAACAGACACTTCTCTAAAGAAGAAATACAGATGGCCAACAGGCGCATGAAAGGATGCTCCATTTCAGTAATCATCTGGGAAATGCAAATCAAAACCACAATGAGATAGCACCTTTCAGAGTCAGAACAGCCACTATCCAAAAGACAAGAAATAACAAGTGATGGCAAGATGTGGAGAAAACAGAACCCTCCTACATTGTTGGTGGGAATGTAAATTGGTACAGCCACTGTGTAAAGCGGAAATCTGTTGCATTCCTTTATACTAACAAGAAACTAGCAGAAAGAGAAATCTGGAAAACAATTCCATTTACAATTGCATTAAAATTATTAAGCTAAAAATAGAAATACCATTCAACCCAGTAATTACAGTTCTAGGAATTTACCCAAAGAAAACAAAATCCCTGATGTGAAAAGTTATCTGTTCCCTTATGTTTATTGCCACATTATTTACAACAGCCAAGATATGGAAGCAACCTAAGTGTCTATCAACAGATGAATGGATAAAGAAAATGTGGTACATGTGCATGATGGAATATTATTCAGTCATTAAAAAGAAAAGAAATCCTTCCATTTGTGACAACATGGATGGACCTACAGGGTATTTTGCTAAGTGAATAATACAGGTGGAGAAAGACAAATACCACAGGATTTCACTTATTTGCAGAATCTAAAAACAAAACAAAACAAAATGAACAAAACAGTGGACTCAGGTACACGGAGTGGTGATTGGTGGTTATCATGGGGGAGGGGTTGGGGTGGGAGGGAGGGGAGGGTGAAGGGGTAAAGGAGCACAAAAATTTTCAGTCATGATATGCTTTTGAGACAGGGACCATGGGATTAGGCAGAGTAAGGTGAGGGCCTCTGGAGAAAAAGCAGAGCAAGATAATTACAGTCAGAACAATGTACCAATGTGCAAAGAAGTCCCTATTGGAACTCTGTGATAAGCATTACACAAAGTCAGAGTCACTAATTCTCTAGGGTAAAGATACCAGACTAGGAATATAGACATCTTCAGTGAGATCAGGTAAAACTCAAAAGGCCAGCAGTAACTTGGCCTGGAATGTTTGAGTGTTCTGCAGATAAAGAAAAGTGTCTCAGCATAACCCGTGACTTCACTGTATCAATTTAAAACATGACACTGTAAAATTTACCTTAGCCTGGTAAAAGGCCCAGCTTATTTTAACCCTACCTATGTGCTCTATTTCCTTCTCTGATCCTAACCAAGTAATCTGCAACCTAGGAAAAACACTAATTTAGTAAGCAAGCCCAACTATAAACAGCCCAAGAAGTTAAGAAGTAAGATTCTTAACTTAATTCAGCAAACAGGCAACAACCCAGCCCACCTTGGGGGCAGGGTAGGCGGTCTTAACTGACATACTCCCAGAGAGAAACTGCTACCTTGAGAAAGAATCAGAGCAGAAAATTTTTTCTATTACTCATCAAAAATGAGCATTCTGGGACTACTCAACAAGTCTGCACCCCTAACCCTTTACCCTCATTCCTGAAAATCCTCAACCATGCATAAAACCCCTAGACAATGAGCCAACCATGGACTCTCTTGTCCCCTCCTGGCATGAGCCGGAAGCTCTGTCCTCTCACTTTATCTCTAAATAAAAGCCTGTACCTTGCTCTCTTACCTTGAGTGTTTGTGAAGCTCATTCTTCAGCTTCATGAACAAGAACCCTGGCATCACTTTGGTCATGGAGATGGTAGCACAGCATGGATAATATAGCCAGTGATTCTGTATCATCCCTGTGTTGACAGATGGTGGCTGCACTATTTAGGCTCAGGACTTAATAATGTGGGTAATTGCTGAACCACTGTTGTATACTTGAGACTAATATAAGATTGTATAGCAACTATACTTCAATAAAAAAATCAGATATTTACATTTATTTTTTGTTACTGGTTCATCTAATTGATATCTGGGAAGATGATTTTTCACTGATCTATAGTCCTAGGACTTTGTGCTTTCTATGTCAAAAGCATCTTTCTGGCCTGGCTGATATCACCAGAATGACTTAAAGTCAGTTGTGACTGGGGAACAGTGAGCTTTGCAAGCCTATTTTTCCTTCTCAGTCCATAGGAATAAATCCATTGAGATGGAGTTAGATAGTGACTGCCCCATCTTTAAAAAGGGAAAAATCTCTATTTACTTTGGGTGATGATTATATCAAACTCTTCAGTGTTTTGCCTGTTTTCTCAATAAAATTGTCAGCAGTGGTTTCCCAAACTAATTCTGTCTGAGGATCAAGGAAACTTAAGTGCCCATTGTTATTTGCACTCTTTAACCACCTACTGGATAAATCTGTTGAGCATGCTATGGATTGTTGGGATTTTAAAGGCTTCTCAGTCCTTCACTCTATGACCAGGGACCAGGTTCTCTTGCATGAGCTCCAAATAGACTCAAGATTACTGATGCTTATATAACACCTGCTTTCTAACATGACAAGAAGAGATGTGTTGTTATGTTAAAGAAGGCCCCTCCTCCAGCTTAACTCACAGCTTGCTGTGAAGTAAAGACCCAGATAACCAAAAGGCATTTTCGCTTCAGAAGGGTCTTTCTGGCCCTAACTTCCAGGTTTACAGAATTAGGTTCATCATGTGATTATTAGCATTAACCAGTAAGAAACAAATTATGGATAGTCTGGTATTTTAAAGTGACTGTGTTGAAATTTTCTGAGAAAGTTTAAAAAAGTTAACAGAGGATCTTAAAAGCAAAAGCAAAACAAGAAAAAGCTAAATTGCAGAACTACCAACATTTTGCTTTTATATTTAAAAAGTTTAGCAGAGTCTAGATTAGGGTTTTTGTTTAATTTTGTTTTTTTAACATGGAAGTCTGTTCAAATTATCACAGATATATGTATTTTTATGAGGAAGGTTCATTGAATTTTAGAAAGGCCTATGAACCGAAAAAAGGGTCAGACCCATTGGTTTAGACCATTCAAACATCCTTTTCTGGGATTTTCCATGGTGTCAATAGAGCACTTATTTACTCTGAGTTGTAATAGTAGACATTTGTTGGGTTGGTCATCCACCTCCTGCTTTGTAGTAGGTAGTTCCAGCAAGGCTGGAACATTTGATTTAGGCTGAGGCAATCCCTAATGGCTTAGGGATTGACCAATCAGAGCCAGTGGAAACTGAGATGCTTTTGCTGGAGTTTCTGTAGATACCCAATGTGTGAGATCTGGGGTTTCAGATTGCTGCAGTCATCCATGAAAAGAGTCAGTGAGGACAGATTTAACCCAGGGGATGTGGAGCTGAAGAGATTGGTACATGCTTAGTTTCTGATTCAAGTTACTGCGGAACCAGACCAACCCATAAATATCTCTTTTTTGTCTAAGTCACTCTGGGAAGTACTTTCTGTTATTTATAACTGAAAGACAACTGATACTGTACTTTTTCTTTCATTGGATTGTGAACTGAAGATGACTGATATTTGACAGGCTTAATGAACATAAATCAAGGGTTCAATACACATTTTAAGCTGAAAGGAAGATTAGTGTGGTTTTTTGGGCAAACATATTCAGCCAACTTGGCTATTGCTCATAGTTAGGCTTAGTGAGCAGTTAGTCTTAAGGGATTCTTTTACTTCTGTGCTTAATTCTCACAAGCATCTTTCATATGTAGACATCGATGATGAAATATTTTGTTACATGATTTCCAACAGTGTTGTATATACTTATAGATATGGAAAATATTTAGATTAACTATTGTCAGTAAGAAATTTATTTTAAAAACACTTAAATTTTGTTATTAGATAACCACAGGTATCTTCAAATTACTAAAATGACTGAATCTGAAAAATCTATTAAACAAGAGACCTTTCTTGTTTGAATTACAGTATTATTAATTTAATTCTATTACCCAACCCTCTATTTCTTTCTGATTATAAATCTCACAAAATAATGTTAATGTGCAAAGGAAACTAGCGATGTTCATATAATAAATTTCAGGGGAAAAAGCTCTTAAAAAATTAAACTAGCTTTATGGCTTAAAACTAGTGTTAGGGATAAGAAAGCACATATGGTCAATTCTTTTTATTTATGGATTCCGTATTTGGGGACTTGCCTATGCTAAAATATACTTGTAACCCAAAATCAATACTTATGGCAGTTCTGCTGTCATTCATGGACATACACATGCACAGAGCAGCGAAAAATTTGAGTTGCCCAAAGACCACCTACCCAGCTGAGGTCAAACAAGACAATGCTCTGCCTTATTTCAGCTCATATATTGTAAACATGTGTCCTTTCCACAATTTATTTAGTGCCACTTCTTCACATTTTTGTGTTTTTGTTGATTTTGCTGTTTAAAATGCTCCCCAAACATAGTGCTAAAGTGCTGTCTAGTGTTTCTAAGCACAAGAAGGCTGTGATATGCCTTATGGAGAAAATACTGTGTTCAGGCATGTGTTTTATAGATATAGTGCTATTGGTGGTAAGTTCACTGTTAGTGAATCAACAATATATTTTAAATATGCTGTCCTTAACAGAAGCATACATAAAACAAGGTTATGTATTGATTGATTGACAAAAATGTGACCAGAAGTTTATGGGTATCTAGTCCTACATTTCTTCTAGGAGCAATGGTTCAGTATTCCCTAATTCAGCTTTATGGAATGTAAGTATCACAAATAATGAGCATTGATTATATTTTTAAGTGATACATTTATAAACATCATATTCTAATCTGATAGCTCTTTCTTTCAAGGTAGGGATCAGAAAACTATTAAATATATTACTTTACCCTCTGATAATTGTGAGACAATGAATTATCTGAGTAGGAAACAGTTACTACTTCTGTAACTGAACAGAAAAATTAATGAACAGGTCTGAAAAAAGTTTATTCCATTGCTTTCTTAAATAGACAACTTTCTTAAATAGACAACTTTCTTCATCCAACAATTTTAATACTTTATGTTTTTAAAGTAGCAATTTTACTTTTTCACTCTGTACCTTTGTGAATAAGGTCAGCACAGGCAGAGTAGTCTTGGAGGCATAGAGATTTCTGAGGAGGAGTCGAAAGGAGTATTTGGCAAGTTGCATGCTATTTCTCTGAAACCAGAGCATCTTAATTCTGCCAAAAGAAAAATAGGCCAGTAAATTTATGTGCCCTTGAGTTTGCTCTTTATAGTATGAACAGTAAGCTGCAAGCCAATGATGGAGTTTTGAAGACTTCAGAGTTTGTTCTTGAGTCCTGGAGTGTCAGACAGGCCCAGATGTTTGGCAGGTCTCCATGACACCCAACAGTCACTGTATTCCAAACAGAACAGAATTTAGAATGGGAAAAAAATGCATATTTATAGATAAGCTGTGTGCCTAACCACTTGGTTTCTGTAAGCAAACTGCATGGATTTATTAATTTAAATACAAAATTAAACTTTACCTTCAGATTTTGCCAACATCCTGATGATTCCCTAAGATGGGGAGGTTTCCTGAGATAGTTCTTATTGGCAGAGATAGCTCATCTTATTGGCAAGCATTCAACTACAGCCATGCACCTTCATTGTAAAGGAAACAACAGGGTAGAGCACAAGTCTCCAGCTGCAGATTAAGGCTATCACAAGATCTGTGCATCCTCTGCTGCAAGAGATGGGGAGACGCACAGCTGGGCTTAGAGAGGCTACTGGGGAGTATCAGGCTGAGCTAACTAGTCAGAAACAAAAGTCTACTCAACTTCTTAAGAAGAATTTTAAAAGGAGAGTGCCACCATTTTTGAAAACATACACAAGAGTACTGGTGTTTCTATTGGTGATATTCCAGTAAGAACAACTTGGTAATAGCAGCATGTCAAACACTAGGCCTTGAAGCTCCCTCATCCTGCTACTTTGCTCGACATAAGGCACTGTACTTATTCCTAGTTATTCTGCTGAGCCCCCAGCTTTCAAAACACATATGCACTGTTGACTTTCTCATTTAGCTACTCGCAAGATGAATTCATTCCTGGGATCCTTATTTCTTAACTTTTAGTCTATCCCTCCAACTTCATCTTTCACTTTTTCCTCCCTTATTTTGGCAAGTTATAGCTATGAAGGTTCTCTTTCTATTCCTTGAATACCCAGAGGTCACTTCTTCATCTGGATCTCTGCATTTGCTGCTCCTTTGCATGAAAAGCTCTTAAGTAGCTTCTCCTCTTTTGACCTGGGATCATGTCACCTCCTTAGAGATGCTTAGTTTAACTACCTTCCCAATGTTGGCCAGCCCACCACTCTCTGTCCGTATAACTTATTACAGTTTTCTTTTATTCCCCACTATCTGGAATTATTTCTTTACCTGCATGTCCTGTGTACTACAATGTGAGTTCCAGGGGAGCAGCTACTTGTTCACCCCAGTATCTCTGAGCATCTACTAATAACCTGGCATATAGTAGGTGTTCAAATATTTGTTTGAATGTTGAAAGTTTGGAGTGAACCTTTCTCCTCTTTTTTATTCTCACCTCCAACCCTGCCCAGACATTCAGTGTACACAGTAGTCACTATTTGAGCAGATCTCATATCATAATTAAAGGTTAGTGCCCCTCTGGATGGCCATGAGGTTGTGGGCTAGGGTGCTGTAGCTGGCCCAACCCCTTCACCACCACCTTGACTCTTAGCCTGCTCTGCTTCACAGAGCGGGACAATATTATGTGCTCATCTCCCCTGGAGGCTAGGCTTCTAGTGTAAGTTTAGCTTAAAACTCAGAGAAAGACAAACTCACCAAATGACTTCACTCATTTGTGGAGTATAAAAACAAAGTAAAACTGAAGGAACAAAATAGCAGCAGACTCACAGACATGGAGAAGGGACTACTGGTTACCAAAGGGGAGGGACTGGGGAGGGTGGGTGGGGAAGGAGAAGGGTATTCAGGGGCACTATAATTCTCAATCACAATATAGGTAGGTCATGGGGAAGGTGGTACAGCATGGAGAAGACAAGTAATGACTCTATAGCATCTTATTACACTGATAGATGGTGACTGCAGTGGGGCCGGAGGACAACTTGATAATATGTGTGAATGTGGAAACCATCAAAAGATTGTATGTCAATGATACTTTAATTTAAAAAAAAGATTAGCCTAAAACTCATTTCAAACAGAATGATATGACTTTAGAGAAAAACACCAACCCACATCAAACCAGAGTAAAGACCACAGGACAGAAAGATCAGACTCTGATCTGTGAAAACAATAATCTTCCCTTCACTCTTAACCCTGTAGTCTTCCACTTCTCCTTGGCTCTCCCTGCTACTAAAGGATACTGATAATGCATAAAAAAGGAATGTGCTGAGAACTTTGCAATGATCTGCTACCCAGCATTATTCCAAGGTGGAAAGTGGATCTAAACAATTTCACAATATGCTGAGCGACTCTCAACTAAGTGTTAAGCCCTGGTATACACATTTTCTGTAAATTCAGCAGAATTAACAACTCCACTAGATAAATGTGTTTGGAGACAACAGCTTCTAAACATGATTTTGTCTATACAGGATGTATGTGAGGGAGAAAGTAGAATGTTAGTCATGTTTACACTAGGTAGAAATTTCTGCACCATTGGTTTTCGGAAGGCCCTATGCCAGCAGTGGCACACACTCCTAGGGTGTGGAGTTAAGAAGCTGCACTACATGGAGGAGGAAGAAAATGTAAAAATTAGTCTTGTTAAAGGCAGAAAGACAGTGCTTAGAAATAAGAAGGATCACACCATCTCTGGCAGTGACCTATGACTACAACCAGGACAGTGAACTGCAGCTATATGCTTTCGGTGGAGGGATTTAAGATTTATTGATGTCTGGCTGATCAGGAAAGGAAAACTTACTGCTTTTACCTAGTTAAGTTGAGACTGAGGTGTTAAGGCTTTTAAAATATTCTAGTTCACAATGGAAATCTGTTTCAGTATATCCAACATGAAAAAACACTGCATGTGGTCTTGGCTGTGCCCAAGACAAATAAAACCTGTCATAGTAAACAAAGTCGCTATTCATTCCAGATTTGCTAGAGTATTTGTTCAACCAACCTAAAAAACTAAGTAAAGTCTTCAGTGGTGCTAAAACCATTCTGTTTAAAACCAGTTCTCTTTTCTACTGTTAGTCTCCACTTGTAGTTTTTTTACATTCATTTAATCATTTAAAATGGCACATTTGTTTATTGAGAAATTCATTAGCATTATGCAATTTACTACCTATTTCCCAAATGCCCTAAGGCAAGTACATTTTACATCGTTAAATTAACTTATTTCTTCATAAGCACTGTATTATAAAATCATATTAGAGTCTGATATAAAGAAAAAGCTCCCTATACCAATCCTAGGCAAAAATAAGATATTAAGGCTGAAGTTCTGAATGCTGGAGTTCACTTAGTTCTAGATATAAAAAATGAAATGAGAAATGATACACTCCAGTTGGGACTCTATAATATTCTTTAGAATCTTTTACTAACTGTAAACCCTAACAGCATTGCTGTCAGTGTCACATTCACTGAATCATGCATTCTTGAAGTAAAATCTTAATACAGGCTACTCTGTCAATGTGACATTTTCATTAGTTCTATTATTTTTTAACAGTATCTCAGCACTATAAAAAATATTCTAAAAGGCAGTCTCTGCCTGTTAGCTCATGACTGTGAAAGGACAACACCTTTTTGATTATGTCACTGAATTTAGTCATGAACTATGTGTCCTTACTACACACACAAACAGAATTTTATCCTTTGTATTTCGTTATATGCCTCTGTCATATGAGCAAAAAGAGCTGCATTCATAATATCAAAGAAGCACAACTGGGTCACCTTTGTCACAGACCAGAATAAAACAACAACAACAAAAGTGTAAGACTGGATTTAGAATGTGCACAGTCTAACAGTAAAGATGGTGACTCCTGCTGTTTCAAGTCCACTGCTGCTTAGAGGCACGGATCACCCTCAAACAGAATGGGAATACTGGTTTTTCAACAAAACTGAGGCTGACTTCAGTGGTCTTTATGGTAGAATCAAACACAACACGGGGGGAGGACTGATTGGACCAATTCAGAACCACCTTGAAGCAACATAAGGAAGACAGCTTTATAACATTTTCCCTGCGAAGCACTGAAGGGCATACCATTAAAGCGACTGATTATGATACAGAAAGAAGCCAGGGTCATTTGAGCCTTTATTAAGGATTATTCATTTCTTGCATGAAGAACTGCCCAGGCTATGGCTTCATATCATGTATCTCAGGCTCCTGGATTCTTCAAACACTGTGTGTGTCTGATTAGAAGGGAAATAACATTGTTCTTGCTTGAGTAGAGAAACTGACCTTCACTGACCAGAATTTTTATTCATACAAAGCATCCTTTGGCACACCGAATTTCCAAGCTCACATGATCCATTACCAGCAAGCTGCAGTATTAGTTCATGTGCAAAATAAAAAATTCTGTATAAGCCTAGGTACCGCCTTGGTTATTAACAGGTAATGTAGCTTCTTCACAAGAGTATAATGTAAATTTAATGCTGAGCTGACATTAACCAAACACTATTACTGTAGCTTTTGCTGAACCTGTGTTCTATAAAGAGAGGTGCAGAGCTTCCGTTTAATCATCTGTGCCCTGTGAGATGTTAAGTGCTCCATTTCACATTCATTAACATCTAAGCATAATGTTCCTATTTTTACCCAAATGACAAGAAACACATGTATACACACACACACACACACACACACACCTCTACTGGGAACAAAACATGTTATTTTAGATGACTGAAAGTTTATATAATGAGGTGAGGTTGCTTTTAGGGGACCCATCTGGGTCACTAGGCTCTCCCTAATCCAGGGAAACAGGGACAAATGATGCCTCCTCTGCTCCTCTGTGCTTTGGGTCAGTCAACTGTCTTCAAACCTCCCTCTCTCCCAAACAAGTAGAAGCCTAGCTTGGGATATTGGGTACAAGTGTGGAGCTAAGAGTGACAAGGAGAGGCAGCCTAAGGGGACATAACCTAAGCTGAAAATTGAGCAGATTCTTTGAAGTGTCGATCTCAAGGGGCTAAGCATGGCTAGCTACAGACAGAAACAGGGAGTGGTGAGTAGAAGGCCTAACCTGGAGTGGGGCCCTCACTGGCATGGGTGGAATCTCAGGTGCTTTTCTAGCACTTCAGCCTAATAGTCATGATACCTGGCCAGGGCGACTCCCTAGGAGGCAGAACCAACTCAAACAAGATATTGCAACAAAGATCCAAAGCTAACCACCCACCCGTGGGCGCACTTGTACACAGCATCAGGCTTAGCGTCATTTTTTTTTTTGGAGGTATAACTGACATAACATTATATTATTAGCTTCAGTTGTACAACACAATGATTCAGTATTTGTATACATTGTGAAAGGGTCACCACAGTTTCAATTTGACCATGCAGTTGGACTGCTGATTTGATCTCACAACATATGAAATGATGAGAAGGCCTACATCATGCCCGGTACTGGGGAGTGAGGAACAGCTCTCACACACATGCCCACCACACCCCCTACAGTTTCCACTTGCAGATTTCAGTGCCAACAGCCTCATTGCATAGGGGCCAGGGAAGCTAGAAGAGCATCAATCCCTGAAAGGAACGACTGGTTACATGAGTGCCTAGAGATTAAACCCCTTTCTATTTCCCTTTAAATCATTATCACGACTGTGGGATTTCCAAGTATCTGGATGTCTCTATTCCACTGTTTGTATTCAGTGGGTGATATGTTAATTTGCATTCAACACACTGCTCTGTGAAAAACTGTGTGAAATGTGGGCCTTGCCTATCCAGTAAGACAACAATTTCACTGAAGATATACAGCATTTACGTATCTACCACTTAGTACATACTCTGTCCTCATATCCCACCCCCTTCAAATTCTCAGTAAAATTAAGACTTTTTTCTTCATTCTGGTGAAGCCCATTTCTTTCTCTCCAAAAAAAAAAACTCTCAGGGAGAGAAATCAACTGCACATGCTAGATACAAGAACAAGAATTACAGAGAGATATACTTCAGTGGATTCAGGAGAAGAGAGTTAAATTCTTAACTGGAACAGTACAACTGTAGGAGAGATTACAACAGGGACATCTAATAGGCAACTTTAAATGTTATAGGAGAAATGAAGAGTATGGTGGGCTGAGACTGGAGGTGGTTTCACAAGAAAAAGATCCTAAATCATGTAGGATTTGTATATGTAGAAAACATGGGAAACATTCCAAAGATGGGCTCAGGCATAAAGATGCTGAGGTAGGAATGCCATAGCCTGTTTGATGGGAGCCACTGAGGATTTTGAACAAGGGAGTGATGAGACAAAATCAGTATTTTAGAATACTGATCTAGCACCATACAGCAGTAGAAAGGAGAATAAAGGGAGGAAAGAATTAGAGGTCAAGACAATCCAGGTGTGGGATGAGATTCATTCATTTATTCATTCCACAATCATATGACGTTTTCCATATATAAGCTAATATTTCAGGTTCTGGGTTCATTAGTGAATATGAAAGCAAGGTATCTGCCTTCGGGTCTCTTTAATATCAGACATCAGATAGTAGTCAGTAGATGGGGGGAGCAAAACAAGGAGATGTGATGGCGACTAAGGCAGGTCCCTTAAATAAGGTACTCTGAGCATGCTTCATTTTTGCTGAGACTATGCAAAGGATGAGGCGATGCAAAAATCTGGAGGAGGAGCATTTTGGGGAGAGGAAACAGTAAGTGCAAAGGCTCTGAGGACAACCTGGACTTACTGGAAGAAACGAAAGGGACCATGAGGCTGAAGTACAGTAAATAAGAGGGAAGTGGCAGGAGACAGGGCTCAAAAATGGACTGTGGGGGCCAGATCAGCCAAGGCCTCATGTGGTATGTTTAGGAACTGAGGTTGTAAGTATAATTAGACTTAGAGGAGGGACGTGACATGATCTAATATACAATTTTAAATGATCAACTAGCCTACTGTGTGCATGGATTGTTGGGGGCAAGAGTGGATGCAGAGACCCAGTTAGGGGGCTTCTGCAGGAGTCTGGGTGAGAAAGGATGGTGGTGTGGACCAGGGGAGCAACACGAGTAGGACACATCATTGTACCATTCTCCTACGCATCCAGAAGCCCTGCTGTGTTTGCCTCAGCCTATAGCAAGCTGACAAACGTCAAGTGGAAGGTGAGAGGAATCTTCAGTGTAAGCATTTATTTTAGAATCTTTGGACCTTAGCAGTCAGTTGCCAGATCACTGCTTCAGAGGAGTCTATTCAGTAATGGGGTTGGTGCACATGACAATGTCAGGGAAGGGTTTCCAGGAAAACATTCAGCTGAGAGAAACAAAATGAAGATGCTAATCAAGAACAGTAATGTACATTACTATACACTAGCCCTCTAACACCCAGAGGCCCAAAGGGGATTCTGGACTAACTCCTGTTAGTACAATGGGGCTGCATACACTGCACCCCTCCCCTCATCCTCAACCCCAAAGACACTGACTCAGCCTCTGGCCTGGAGCCAGAGAGGCACATTCTGAATTGAGAGTGTGCAACCATGTTCAGAACAATTACAACATAATGGCTGCAAAGCTGTTCCTGAAAGCCAAGAAAACCTGAATAATGTGGTTGGGTTATATCCTACATGAGGGCTTAATAGAGTTTAAAAACCAATTTGAAAATTCCTTCAATCCATAAAGATAGCATTAAGATGAGGGCAAAATCATTCTAGTTCAAGGGATGGGAACAAAGTGCAAAAGGAATTATGAAGGCTGCTTTCCACATTATCCTTCCTAGCCAAAATAACCCATTCCCTTTGAAGATATCACATATTTAATAGTGACCCAGAAAGAAGGCAATTTCATTAATACATCTTAGTCTATTGTACTTAGCTAGTAATGCTGGTTTCCTTGATATTTAAAAAGCACACAATCCCATTTCCAAAACAACTGCAATTCAAAATCCATCCATCGAGGCAATGTCTTCTATTTGTCACTTATACTCCACCTTTCCAATTCCTCTTGCCAAGGAGGCAGTTATTCTCACAACCACAGAGGACCTAAAAGGGTTTCATTAATTTTTTAGGCATTTTGTAGCCTGTAAGTTGGGAACCAACCACTCTTGAAGTCAGGCCCTCAGTTATGTGAGATTTTACAATCCTCCAAATCCTATTCTGTTACTTAAGAGCTATAACTGATAAAATTTCTTAATGTTTTGGAACTGGGAAATGCCTTTGGAGATGCTCTTGCTTATGGATAAAGAAACTAATGTTTAACCAAAGCCTTTCATACTGCCTTTTTCTCTTTTTGTTCATTTCTGTATATTTTCTCCTTGAACAATGCCTTATTTTTACACATAATGAGACCAGCACAGAATTTTCAGAACTAGAAGGGATTGCCAAGTTCAACCCCCTTTTTCCCAAAGAAATCTCAAAAAGCTTTATATATTAATCCTCAGAGTATATCAAATAACAGATACTTCATTTTGTTTAAGGCTTAATTTAAAGAAGGAGAGAATGAGGAAACTCTCAGCTTCGGATGGCAGGTTTCTTTTCCTTAGAGAATGAGGTTCTGATCTCCAAATCTAAGAAGATTCAGATTAACTTTGTTTTTGAACCTGGAGAAACAGAACTGAATTTAGATCTCTTTTTATGTCTTATGTCCTAAGATGACACAGGTGAGTGAATTTCTTTTAAACAATAGTATCCTTTCTCTTGGCTTACTGGAAGAACTACATGTTCTAAGAAGTCACGTGTTAAAAAAAATTAATCTCATGTCATTTTTCTGACTAAACGAGGAGCCATTTTCCTATTATTTCATGATCAACATGAAAACGTACAGAAACAATGAGAGGAAGCTCATTTGTTTCCAGAAGTAACATTCTGGTTTCTGTTACAATCCCATTGGCAACAGAAGGAAGCAGCATATACCACATGCCTGCCCTATGACAACACAAAAAGCTGTCAACTTTGAGGTCCTCTGGAATGTTAGTAAAGTTAAAAAGATGATTGTGGCTTTCTTTCAGTATTATTTTAGCAAACTACCTGAAAATAGTGACCATACATAGGTCCTCTATCCTTAAGGCAGGACCAAAGTAAGATGTTGAGGCCCTCGGTAAGCTAATAATGTGGTATACTTTCAAATGGATCGTCTTCAAATATTGGCTCAATGGGTGCTTTGAGTAGAGCATGGCAGTTCTCAGAGGAAGGGTGGACACAGGGCTGGTGGAGCCTTTTGGCTTACATATTTCATTTAGCACAATAAAGGAAGGCCCTGCAAAGTGACCAGGCAAGATCGCCTTAGAAGAAAGTTTGGTGAGTATGTATTAACTTTCAAATATGTCCTTCCCTACTCCAAGCTGTTTATCAAGGCATTAGTAACTGCAGCATTTATAACTGCATCTAGTAACCCCTTGAAAGGTTAGTATTTTTATATCCTTTTCTCTACCTTGTTGCATTCCCAATAATGTTTTCATACTCGTTATAGCACCAGCCTCCCTTCAGGAACACTGTCTTTTCATTTCCATAGCATGTACTAAGTGTCTGCATTGTGCCTGGCACTATGCCAGTTATTAGAAATATAAAAGTGATTAAGATACTTACCCTGCCCTTAAGGACCTCACACCTTGGGTAGGAGAAAGATTTACAAACAAATAATTCTGTACCACAGTGATGAGGTCTATAGCAGTAAAATGAGTATTGCTAGATATTTACTAGTAAAAGGCTCTGAAATCCTTGGAGATAGATACTTCCTTAAAATAGAAGGTATTTTGAGTTTTGCCTCTACCTCTGAAAACCTCATCTTCGGAAAGGACTGGACTAAAAAAGAGAATAATGCTTTCGTACTTCTAGTTTCCCATGGCTGTAACTGGGTTAGGGAGTTAGGGATGTGGAATAATACTCAAGCAAAACTTAGCCAAAACCTTTCATTTTATATATTCTTCCTCACATGACTGTGTCTCTCAAACTTGCTATGTGATACCAGGATACTAAGGAAACTCACCTAGTTCCTGCTACCTGTGTAGCTATATATCCCTGGATCCAGATGGTTTCTTCTCTTCAAAATAATTGCAAACAAGATTAAAACTGCATGGAGGAACTATTCCAGCTGGCTTTTGGCTTCCTCTGATGTACACTCCTTGAATAAAGCAGAGGCAAATTGGATTTAAAATAAGAAACATAAAAACCTTACTACTTGTACCAGATCACCTCAAGGTCTTGCTGTGTGTGAAATCCCAAGCCTTGGCATTAGAGTGAGTGAATCTATCAACTACCTAGAGTGTGTACGTTATGAAATACAAAAACTTTAATAAAAAAACCCACTTATTTTGAAGGCATATCTTCACATTGCCTTTGACTTAAGGGTACAATAGAGCCAGGCATCTGGAATAAAATAGAAATACAGTCCAATAAATTCTCAGGTTGGAAAAATCCTCATTTCTATTACCTTACCTGCCATCAATCTATCTAAATAAAACCACATAGCCACATTTTCCTCTGGTGAAGGAGACAAAAAAATATTGATTCTTCCTTGGCAGGCAGCTTCTACTGACCACAGCAAGCATGAAGAAAGAAAATCCAGGCAATCTGTCTGTCTGAAACATCAGCTTCACCAATCTGAATTTTCTTAACAGGACCTTTCTGATTCCAGGCAATTCGTCAGCAGAGCAGAACCCAGGTTATTAGGCTATGACCTTTCACACAGAACAATGATTAGTTCTGCCTTACGCCAACATTACTATAATCACTCACTGTTTCTAGGGTACCTCTTTTTCCAAGTATTTTAAATTTCAATGTATATGGCTCCAGATTTTGGTAGAGAGTTCATATGCATTTTCATAAGCTATTCCTTAGATAATTATGAAGTGAGAAGAGCATGGCGTCTGATTGCTACCTCAACTTGTACAGTGTCATGGGCATTGAAACATGGCTATAGTGGCTGCATAACCAAAGAAATGTGTAGTTGCAGGAGCCTGCTAATGTGTGTTGGTAAATGTGCTAGGAAGTGTTGGCAGTATAACAGATCTTAGATGCTGTCCTTGTCCGGGAGGATCCGAGAATCTTGGGTCAAGCTGAGCCACACTGTAAATTTTTTTAAGAAAGTGTTCTGAAATATAATGTATTATATAAAATACTTTCTATTAATAAAGAATAATAAAAATCACCCAGGCAAAAAACCCTCCTGTTCTTTAACGGAACAGCCTTAGAAATAGACACTTGCCTACTCATTGTTAATAACAATTTCGGTGCAACTTTTCTACCTCTGGACTTATTAAAAAATTGTATGAGCTGATATTTGTCAGGGGTGACTGACAAGACTAAGTATTTATGGAGAATTGTACAGTCTTTGATTTATTCTCTCATTGTTCAGCACCCAGAGGGCTGCTTTTGCCTGATGAAGCCCAAGAGCAGGTCCAGAAATTCCCCGGGACTCACAGTGTTTCTACTGCACCTTTTAACCTTTTTCACCCCCAAGAAAGGTCAACATGACTGCTCAAAAATTATATAAAAAGGCAGCCAATTGAGATTATATTATCACTTCATATAATTCAATTAAACCTAGAACGGGTCATCTATGAATCATGAAGAAGCATGAAGTTGAGATGTTTTTTGCTTTCTCTTGAAAAGATGTGTGCGTTATATTGTTCACTTTCCAACACACACACAGACGCTTATAATCTCCCCGCGGTGGCGCAAGGATTTCTGGCCCCCGGTTTAATTACATTCTAACAACAAGCGAAATCGGCAGGGTGCGACGCAGCAACGAGTTCGCGGGGCCCGCCTCCCACCCGCGCACCATCTCGGGGCGGGGGACGCGAGCGCCCACCAGCCTGCGCCAGGCCGCCGGCACCCACCTGAGCCTCCCGCCGCCCACGGCGCCGCCTTCGCCGCGCACCCGGCACTTCCGCTCGAGGGCGCCCGCCCCGCTCCCCGCCCCGTGCACTTCCGCCCCGGCGGCCCGCCGCTCGGTGTGTCTTCTTGCATCTCACATCCCAGCGGACGGCCGCTCAAGAGTGGCCGCCGCGGTGGCCACGCCTGGGCCTTCAAGAGCGCAGAAAGAGGTGCAAAAATTAAGGACGAAGTGTTAAAAAAAATTTTTTTTTAAGCCACAGAAAAGTGACCCTGCCTGTTCGGGAACCATATAATGAGTCTCGTGTGTGGGAGCCAACCTTCTGAGAATGCAACCCGAGCCATTTTAATCTTTCCCTGCATGCTCCCTCCGTCCCTCCCTCCCTTCCTTCCTCCCTTCTTTCCTTCTTCCTCCCTCCCTCCCTTCCTAACGAGATGATGAATGAAATTGGAAGCTCTATCCTCTTCAAACTTAAAGTTTCACAGGCAAGTCAGACATCAGGAAATTTCCCTTTAGATAGGTCATGCATGCACTGAGCTAAGTGCTTTGAAAGGGAAGGATAATGGACCTATGAAAAGATAGTGTGATCCGGTTGAAGAGGTAGCTTTTGTGCTGGAATGTGGAGGGCGCCACTGGGCAAGAACAGAGCTCTCCAGGTCTAAGGAAAATGTAGGACTGGAGGGAACCAAGCATGGGCAATGCGCAAAAGACTGGTGTGGCCCAGGCACAGAGGAAGTGGGGAGAGAAGTGGAAACAGGTTGAAGAAGGAAGGCAGGACCCAGGCCAAACAGGGCTGGTTTGTGCTAAGTACAGCTAAAGGAATTTTTGTTTTACTTTGTTTCTGTTTGTGTGTGGGAAGGGGGTTGATCAGAGACTTTCCATTTTGAAAGGATCAGTCAACTCCTGGAAGGAGATGAGAGGGGACAGGGGTTAGAGTACAAAGCAGGGAAGGCTGGAGGCCACTAAGTAGTTCAGGGGTGAGATGTGTAGGCTTGAATGGTGGTACTGTAAATAGTGGAGAAATGATGGCTAATAATAGTAATACCCATAGCTAACATTTTTTGATTGCTCACCATCAGCTTTACACTCATTAACTTGTTTAATCCTGAGAACAATCCTGTTAAGTACTATTAGTACCATTTTACAGATGAAGAAGTGGAGGCTTAATAACTTGCCCTAATTCTCAGAGCTAGAAAATTCCATTTCATTCTCTCTGATGCCAGTGTCCATGAGCTTATTCAATATGTATTCCGTGATTTCTAAAGAGATACAAAGTAAACCAAGGTCAGGAATGAATCCCCTAAACAACCACATTGATTATATGTTACTGTTGTAGAACACATCTAGAAAGTAGTTTTTAAATTCTTACCACTTCAGCATTTGCTGATAGCAAAAGGGGATTTTGTGACAGTCAACAGATTACTTATGAGTATTTTTGAGTTGATACACTGATAAGACAATGTAATCTTTTTGGGGAAAAAAAGGTTAATTGAGAAAGTATACTTTACTCAACAGTTATTGATATAATATCTTTAATAAAGTTATCTTGGGTCTAGTTATAAACACCTTTGGTAGAGCATGTGTACTCACATAAATGATAGAAAAGTTTCCTAGAAATACAACTCCAGACCAGCTTCCAAATCTAATGTCTTGTTGGAAAATGAAGTAAATTGAATTTATGAAACCTGATTTCATCCACTAAAGGAGAAGAATGACTTTACCAAAGGCCAACAGTAGAGGCTTTTAGCATTGTTTATGGGTAAATTTATCCAAGGAGCCAAAAATTAACAAAACTTTCAGAATTTGAGTTTGATTAGTAACAATTTCTTGGGTGTTTAGGTGGTACCATAAGACTTGGTACCTCTCCACATGACTGTTTTGGTTGAGGTCAGAAGTCTCATGAAATGGCTGGGAATCCTGAAGAATTCACTGTGATAGATACCCAGTCCCTGGGAATGCTTGGTGCTTGCCATGAGCCCATGAGACCAGTTCAGCCTCTAGGTACAGGACTCAGTGCTGGGCTTATGAGCTGTGCTTGGGAAAATGTCTGGATTCTAAACAGGAAAAATATTGTCTCCAACATAAAAAAAGAAAACTGCCAAAACCAAATTAATAAACATTTCTTAAATGGTCACAGAATATAATACTGTTTCAGCTTCATTAATTGCTGGATTCAGTGTTCATAACAATTTCATTGTATTTGAAATCAGTTTTTAGATGAGATGCTCTTCCCGAGTGAGAGTTCTTAAATATACATGATGATTGCTGAGAAATGAGAGCATATTTTAAATTATTTCCTTTAGCCAAATAATTCCAAAAGCAAAACTTACAAAATCCTTTGTAGCAGAACTATTAAATGTGAGATATGAATACATTTTAATAATTCAAGTGATCTGAAAGTGTGTTGAGAATAAGAATGCCCTAGTATAACCATGGGTCTTGTACAATTTTGTTCCCTCAAAACATGCATGTTGTCACATGCGTTTGACCTATATCTTGTCCTCTGGATCTGGACCCCAGTTCCAAGCTTTGCCCTGGGAATCCGGGTAGGACTGATGCAAGGATCTCTGTTCTGGGATGTCAGTTCAGAACTCATCTGGATTGAGTTCTCTTAGATCTCAAGGCCCTGCCAGCTTGGTGGTCAGTTCTGAGGCTGAAGACTACTCTGGAGAAAGCCTGCTGGTATAGTCTGGTCTGCAATCCCTGAGATATTGCCAAGGGTACTTTAGAGGACACGTTGCTTGCTCTTTCAGAGATGCTCTGGAGGCAGACTTCCCCCAAGGCCTCCTAACGGCTGGATGTAGGGTGTGGAGGGAGGCGTCTTTGCTCCAGCTCCCCTGGCTTTGCCTCTCGGAGAGCAGGAGTAAAGAAACGGCTTTTGATGTCAATGCTTTCCCTTGAGAATACCTTAGAAAAATAATACATGTCCTGACAGGTAGTGAGTGTCCTGTCAACTCTGGTTTACACTAACTGCCTCTGTGCTGACACTCAAATAACCTGCAATCTGAACTTTAACTAGGAGGGACAGTCCCAGTAATTGCCACAACTAGGTGATGCAATCGTTATGGTGTAGGTATTTGGAAACCTGGTAGGTTTTCTTTCCTGTTTTTTTCCTGGTCTTTACAGTGAGCTTACTTGTTTATCTCATGACTGTCTCATCCTCAGTACTGCAAACTGCAGGAAATTTATCTGTAAGGGCCAGATAGTGTGTTAAGTTTAAGGTCATGGAGAAAAACAATGGCAACCTCCCAAAGAAAAGACAGGCTTCTGGGTCTGGATGTGGTAGGTCAGCAGGGTTATTGTTGACTCCCCCAGGCCAACTATTACAGGAAACAGAATTATAAGACTGTCTTACCAGGGGAGAATGGACCTCAGAAGCCTGATTTGTCTACCACCCTGGACATTTAAAAAGATCTCTGCTCTTCTGCTAGACATTCAGAGGAGAATGAGGAAAATCTTAAAAGGAGAAAAATGTTTATTTTGTTTTAAGGCTTGCTCAGTAATCCACTTATGCCATTTACATTAGTTAAAGAAACTTTCCATGTAAACATCATTAATTATGTAGTACAAGAGCCAAATAAAAATGCTAAAAAATAAAAACAATTGTAGAATAAATTAGTGTAGCTTGAGTGCACATACATTATACAGAGACTCTAGACTTTCACATTTTATTGAGGTAGATTTGTGATTTTGCTATTGTTTGAGCTACTAGGATGGAACTGACAGAAATGACATTTTACAGATGGATACCAAAGCTGTTAAAGTTTAAACCCATACAGGCAATGAAATTACAGTTTTCACAGGGGTCTTGACTCATGCCCTCTCTCTAGATCTGTTTTGAAATGACTGTGGGGGAAGATGTGGATTGAGTGTCCCATGGATTTCTCCAGAAGGCTTGCTGGAGCAGGACTATTACTGCCTCTTCCAAAATCAGTAGCTTCCAATGCAGTAACAGAAGACTGCATGTGTCTGTGCTAAAGAAAATGAATCGTGAGCAGCCTGCCAAGCACATGGAAGGTCAGGGACTGGAGCTGTTAGGGAAATGGGGCATGGGTCCTTGAAGTAACAGTGACAGTAAGCCTCTGTATCACTTTTTGTGGTATGTCAAGGATTTTCATGTATATTATTGAATTTGATAATAAATCTTTGTAATAATTCTATAAGATATGTATGGTATGTATTTTTACCAAACCCATTTTACAGACAAGGAAGTTGTAGCTTATGGAGGGAGATCATAATAAAGCAGGGATTAGAAAACATTTCCTAACTCATATCTATGTATTTTTTCTATCAGTACATTCATATTCTTTTTAAATGTGAGTGAAAAGAAACATGGTTTATTTCATAGCAATATTTTGTGCTATGTGGGATCTTTCAAGAGGATTTGAGTGCATTTACATAATTTCCTCAGGGAAAGTTTTCTTTTACCTAGAGAAGCAGGAAATGGAGTTGAAATGGGAAAAGTTTTTCATTTTGTATGGATTGAACCCATCTGTTATGTTCACTAAGCCTAGATCATGGAGGAGGATAGATAGATTTCTCACAGTATAAAGAGAGGAGAGGAGAATCAAAAGTGCCTCCTTTGTTCCCTGGTTCAGATCCACACCCATTCAGGGAGTTCTGTTCAGACAAAACAGGGCAGCCAGCTGATCTGTCAGAAAGAAAAGACACCACTCTCTTCAAACATGCCCTGGCATACTGAACAATCTGCCACAGAGTTGAAGTTAATGCTTATTGCTCAGAAGAATTCTAAGGGATAATTTTTTTCACGGCTTTGAGCATCTTTCAGAAATACGCTTAAATATTTTGTTACATTACCTGCTGCTATGTCTGCACAGCCCAGAATAAAAGCAAATTATCTTTCAGCTATTTATTCAGAATAATGAGTACTGAGGATGTACCATGTGCCAGTGCTAGATGCTAGAACTCTAGGGTGGAACCAGACAGATAGCCTGTAACAGAACTCACAGTCAAGTGGAGGAGATGAGTGTTAATCAAATGATCACATCAATAAATATTTACTGTAGAAGGCACTTTTTCCAATGAGAGCAAGACTAGTAGCTGATTAGGTAA